TTTTTTATCTGACTATATATTCAGAAAATGTTTGTAGAGCCAAGCAATTTGGTTTCTTGTCTAAGAAAAGTATAATTTTAATCTCACGTTGGTAGTCATGGGGTTCACAGAACAAATTTTATTCTGCTCAAGAGTCGTAGCCATAGGCCGATTTATGAAAACAAGATGGTCTTCCCAAAAAATTGTGGTTTTTTTCTATGTTGTGGTTTCAGAACTGGGTAGAATATTATGAGAGTCGCGAAGAATAAAAAGTGACTTTGAGTTACACTTTGCGAGATCCTCCAGCGAAGAGGAAGTGAGGATGGTGGCATAAAAATCTATCGCTGCGTCCACATTGTACGAAACGCGGATTTTTACTGTGATAAGGGTTGGAAGAGGATAAAAAAATGGAACTTGCATCCAGTCGTTTCTTCGTTTGGTGTATGGGTGAATGTGTAACAATCTAAGGATTTATTTCTAATATAATTTCTAGTTATGTTCATTTTGAAGATTTAACATCTGGCAGCCAATGCATTTTCTGTTGAGTGTCGAAGGGTGGAAAAGTTTATTGGTTCCTTTTCTGCGCTGTCCTCAATAGATGTCAGAGAAGTTTTTATACCACGTGGTAAGGGGTTCACGTTACAAGTTTTGTTCGGGGAGTAATGAGGGCGATATTAGCGAAGAAGCGTTGATAACTCTCCAATGGTTATTTCATGGTCTCTCTCACAGTGGTCTTCAAGTGGTGACAAAATTCGATTTGACTTATTGGGTTTTGCTTAACCCTGCTGCTAGTCTGATTCGTTGTTTTTGTTCTAGAAACGGTGTCATTCCCTTTTCTAAATTTTTTTTGAACAGTTTTATTGAACTTAAACCAGCTTTTTAGTCGCCGCTCAGGCTGGACCTCAACGGCGTTTGTTTTGCCAGCTATTTTACTAACCTATGTATTGCTCTGCTTACTTGGGCTTAACCAACAAGCATGCAATGTAATGTTGCAAAGTCGATTACGGGCTGAATGACTCTTTTCAAACTTTATTGTTGGGTTTTGAAGCGTCCCCCTCCATATTTTTTAACTGCATTTTATTGGACTTGCGTTGAACATGATTTGTCGCTGTTTTGCTTCCTTAAGCCACTTCCGTTTCCTATTTCAGAATACTGAGCCGAACCTTTAGACGGTCAGATTCTTTCAATGGCTTCCAAATTCGGAAACGAACAACAAGTGCCTTTGGATACATCAACTTTGACTGAGTACTCGCCAGGAGCTGCTTTTGAGAAGAGCTTTATTTATCCCTCTGAGATCCAGGGCAAGCCATCCATCTCGCTTACTTTGTACGAAGATGTCTCTGGCAAAACATTAGTAGAATACGCTGAATTAAGTGAAGAATTCTCTCCCCGGACTTCTATGAAGATTGTTAATTCATTTTTATATAAGGCTCTTGACCTATTAACGGGCACTTAGGGAAGCAGTTGGACTTCTTTCAACATTACAATTGGATCTGCAGGGGAGGAGGTTTTTCCCAAGAGCATTATTGATATTGAAGCTATTCCTGAGGCTCAACGAGCGATTGCCACAGCAACATCTAAAGAATTTTTGGAGACTCAGGAGGGTCTTCTGGCAAAGGTTCTCATGGTTTACCGTATCGCTCAAGCCTCAGAAAATCATTTAGATTTTGGTAAACTCACGGACCGATTGACAAGACTTTTTGCCCCGTAGCCTTTTTTATTGCGCAGTACAGCTGGAGTCCGCAGTTGTAAACGCTGGACACGATATCATACTTACTGTGCATTAGTAGGAGCCATTGACATGTTTTTTGACAAATTCCTGGAGCATGGCTGGCAAAACTTCGTGCATGCACACTGGGAAGTAGGAGAAAAGGTTGTGCGGTCTTATTTTCTGTTTCAAGCGACTTCAGACTTCAACCCTAATGATTTACTTCGTAATGCTTTTACTGACAAGCTTAACAGAAATATTGGCGCTGTCTTCCACAAGGCTTCTAAACAAGAAATGTCCAAGAAGGATTCGTACTTTCCATATATGCTGGAACTTCGCATAGTTCCTCGAACACCTTATTCAGCTTCTGCTAATCCTGATTTGTTCATGTGGTGTCATTTAATTGGAGCTTTTCACTACAAGACACGATCAATTAAAGTCAAATGTGTCGATTGCAAATCATCATTACCTGTTTTTGTTAATGCAGCTTATGTTTTTTATTACGTGTTCAAGAACCTGACCTTCACTCGGCGATTTTTTAGGAGAAAGGTATAGGCTATAGAATTCTTGAAAAACCAGCGGCCCCCACCTACACCGGCCATGGTATTGGAGGAAATGAAAAAAAAATAATATGAAATTGACAGATAAAATGCAAAGTTACTTTGTTTCAATGGAAAAAATGTTTGAGGATTCTTCTGTTGGATCTATTGGGGGGTTTATTTGCAATATGCTGGCTGCGCAAGGAAAAAACTTAAAAGAGAAAGGAAGACCGAAGTAGCCTCCAACCGAGGCGACTTCTTGCAAAAATCGGTACGAAGAAGAAGCCTTAATGTGAAACTGATCTTTGGCACTGCTATTAGTCTTGTTTTTCTTAAACTTAACTGTATTCGTGTGAACTCACTGTTTTTGCTGTAGCTATTAAAATTCAGGAAGGTCTTGTTGTACAAATATTCCTCGAACTGCAGCATTTGGGGAATGGTTAAGCATTGCAAAATAAGAGTAGCCGTACAACTTTTTAAAGTACTACTGGTTCAGACGTTAACAAAACAAGTATTGGGTATGAAGCTAATGTCACCACTGTACTACCCTTGATCTCTGTGATCAAGCAGCTAGAATAGCAGTATCATTGCAGCAGAATCCTACCACAGCATGGTTAAACTTCTGCAAAGAACCTTTAGTGTCGGTTAGAGGCACTGGTTGTAGCACGCGCCCCTCAGCCAGGATGATAGGGATACTCGCGCCAGTTCCTAACGTCGATGTGCGCGTGTATTTAAGACTGCCTTACTAGTTTGTTTTTCTTTTTCGATTTGGTGTGGTCGTTTTGTTTGCCCTTAGTTGAAACAATCTTTATATCACTAGATTTATAAGAGTTGTTCTTCCCCACCTCCAGAAGCCCAAATGCCCGCAGAGTGGTTCACAACAGCAGAGCGATTCTTCTCCAAAA